GACTGGTGGACTTCAACTCCCAGAATTCCTGAGCCAGCATGGGGGAACTATGGCCCCTTCATGACTCGTGGACTTCAACTCCCAGAATTCCTGAGTCAGCATGGGGGAACTATGGTCCCTTCATGACTGGTGGACTTCAACTCCCAGAATTCCTCAGCCAGCATGGGGGGAACTATGGTCCCTTCATGACTGGTGGACTTCAACTCCCAGAATTCCTGAGCCAGCATGGGGGAACTATGGCCCCTTCATGACTGGTGGACTTCAACTCCCAGAATTCCTCAGCCAGCATGGCTCAGCTTGGAAACCTCTCCCTTTCCCCTCAGCATGGCTGGCTCAGGAATTCTGGGAGCTGAAGTCCACGAGTCATAAAAGAGCCAAGGTTGCCTACCCCTGGTTTAACCGTATCTTAATAAAAAGGAATAAAACAAGGAAAATTGGGAGGGAAAAGAAGGTTTAACAGACATGGCTAGATCGACGGAGGGGGGATCGGGAGGGATCACATCCGTGTTTTAATTCCCTTCCTTCTCTGCCCCAGATCATCTGCCTGGATCTCTCGGAGGAAATGTCCCACCCCAAGCTGGAATCCTTCAACGGGTGAGCCAGAGGGACCTTTTTTGGGGAGGGGGCCCTCGGCCGGCTTCTGGGGGACCAGCTGCTCCTCCTCCTCCTCTGTGGGGGCTTTCTCTGGTTTTGAAGTGGGGGTGGGTCTGACCGATGATGGAGGACAAACCTGGCTTGTCTTTCGGTCCTTGCTGTGGCCTTCCCGCCTTCGGGCAGAAGAGGGCATCATCTCGGCCTCGCCTGGGATGCTGCCAAGGCTTGCCGTCAAGGTTCTAGTCCTCTAGGCTGAGCGGAAAGGAATTTGGAGGTCTCCTCCTCGGAGGCAGGCCTTGCCCCCTCTGGAGTTAGGTTTCTGGAGGGGGGGATGCCCGGGGTGCCTCTGCAGGGGTTTTGACCCGCCTTCCCTTGGCGGTGCTTCCTGACTGGCCTCCTCTTCCTCTCCTCCCCCCTCCCTCTTTTGCTTCCTTCCTTCCTTCCTTCCTTCCTTCCTTCCTTCCTTCCTTCCTTCCTCTTTCTTTCCTTTTTCTTCCTTTTTCCTTATTTACCCCCCCCCCCGGGGCAGGCTGAAGACCAACGCCCTCAACATCTCCCAGAAGATGATTGAGATGTTTGTCCGCACCAAACACAAGATTGACAAGAGCCATGAGTTTGCGCTGGTGGTGGTGAACAACGACGTCACATGGGTACGCTTGTGTGTGTCTCTCCTCCCCCCCACACCCCCGGGGGTCCTTCCCTGTGTTCGCTGCCCCGTTTGCGCCCAGATTGGCACTGCCCGGCCGTGTGCCCGTGGCTGCTCCTCCGCCAAGGCTTCCCGGCCGTTCCATCTTGGATCTCTCTGGTGGAGAGACCGCGAAGGCCTTCACACGTTGCCATAAGCCCAGATGTTGCGGTTTGGCTTCGGCCTTGCTTGATTTCTGAACCCAGGTCAGGAGGATTCCTGGTGGGAACCCCCCCCCCAGGGAAGATTGGCTGCTGTGGAATAAGAATTAGAATAACAGAGTTGGAAAGGACCTTGGAGGCCATCTAGTCCAACCCCCTGCTTAGGCAGGAATCCTTATACCATTTCAGACAAGTGGTTGTCCAATCTCTCCTCTCCTTTAAAATTTCCAGTGTTGGAGCATCCACAACTTCTGGAGGGAAGTTGTTCAACTGATGAACAGAACAGAACAGAACAATAATAGAATAAGAATAGAATAGAATAGAATAGAATAGAATAGAATAGAATAGAATAGAATAGAATAAAATAAGAAATAATAGGAATAGGAATAGAAATAGGAATTAGAATAAGAATAGAATAGAATAAGAAATAATAGGAATAGGAATTAGAATAGAATTAGAATAGAATAGAATAGAATGGAATAAGAAATAATAGGAATAGGAATAGAAATAGGAATTAGAATAAGAATAGAATAGAATAAGAAATAATAGGAATAGGAATTAG